AGGAAAATCAAACATTGAAATTGGTTTTGTTTAACCACAATTGCTTCACTCGTTTGCTTTGCATTAATTTGATATCAAAGTCAAATTTCATTCTTGTAATCATATTTAAACCTAGTCACCCATATCCATTCCTTACTATTACCCTTCTCACTCTGGCTTGTCATTTAAAAAGTTAAGAAGATTTAACCTGTAAGTTGGCATAGAATATACTTTTGAGTCACATCAAAACATATAACATTGCATGTGGAATTACAAATTATTCTTATCCTCGTTCGCATCGACAATATAAATCTGTTGACATATATTTCATCAAGCTTATAAATGTAAAGTACATGACATTATTATGGTTTGTTCCATGTGATTATAAGCCCATACATCTTTTATTACAATATGTGGCATCAATATTAATATGTTCTATGATGGCTGGTTAAATATTAACTAATGTTACTAGATAAAGTAAATGGAGAACGGGGAAACATATAATTATAATCCATATAATTCCCACGAGTATGCATATTATCATAACATTTTTTCTTACCAAAATAACTGTGAGTCATATTACAGTAGATCTCATAATTATGATTTATAATAGAATTTTGGTTGTCATTTTAATCATGGGCAATCTCACAAATATTTTTAAATCATCTTCAAGCCGCTTTAATGTTAATGCATCTAATCGTTGTCAATATTCTTATTAGGATTGTCTTATGACGAATATGAATATTATCTTTAGGATAAATCTTATAATGATGATACATATAATGTTCTTGTATTTTTCTATTAAAAATCATCTTGTCTTGATGAATGATCATCTTATAAATCAGTTTCTTGAATTTCAAAGGTTTATTAATTATGTTAATTCTTTAAGTTCAAGCACATCTATTATCTCTTCTTATTCCAAAACCCGATCTTCTTGATGAGAAGGTATACAAGAATATTATTTGAATAATCCATAAGTTGTAAATTAATAAGATGATGATAATCAATCACTAGTAATCAAGCCTCTTGCAGAGTTTAAGCTTTTTCTAAGCCTAAATTAATGATTGTGGTCGCACTTCTTACCGATTAAGATTTGAGATATATTCTATCATTATTTTATTAAGCTGATAAAATAGGTTAATCAAAACATTAAAAAAGTTTGGCATTCTGATAATTTTTAAAGTTTGTAGACTGATCCTTGCGTTGCAAAACCATCTCTTGTTTCCTCCCCAAAAATAATATTGAGTTCTTTTTCACTACTCATGTACTGCTATCTGAGTATGTATGATGCACGCCAACATTTGAACATGAAGCTTCCATAATTTAGTTATCATGTTTTGATTGCATCTGGCATTCTTACAATATAATTTTCAAGATTTACTATCTTCTCATGATAAATCTTATGATGATGATACATATAATATTCTTGTATTTGTCTATCAAAAATCATCTTGTCTTGATGAATGATCATCTTATAAATCAGTTTCTTGAATTTCAAAGGTTTATTAATTATGTTAATTCTTTAAGTTCAAGCACATCTATTATCTCTTCTTATTCCAAAGCCCGATCTTCTTGATGAGTAGGTATACAAGAATATTATTTGAATAATCCACAAGTTGTAAATTAATAAGATGATGATGATCAATCACCAGTAATCAGGCCTCTAGTAATCAGGCTTCTTGCTCTAAACCAAAATTATTGATTGTGCTCGCACTTCTTACCGATTGAGATTTGAGATATATTCTATCATTATTTTATTAAGCTGATAAAATAGGTTAATCAAAACATTAAAAAAGTTTGGCATTCTGATAATTTTTAAAGTTTGTAGACTGATCCTTGCGTTGCAAAACCATCTCTTGTTTCCTCCCCAAAAATAATATTGAGTTCTTTTTCACTACTCATGTACTGCTATCTGAGTATGGATCTTTAATAGTTTCAATGTATGATGCACGTCAACATTTGAACATGAAGCTTCCATAATTTAGTTATCATGTTTTGATTGCATCTGGCATTCTTACAATATAATTTTCAAGATTTACTATCTTCTCATGATAAATCTTATGATGATGATACATATAATATTCTTGTATTTGTCTATCAAAAATCATCTTGTCTTGATGAATGATCATCTTATAAATCAGTTTCTTGAATTTCAAAGGTTTATTAATTATGTTAATTCTTTAAGTTCAAGCTCATCTATTATCTCTTCTTATTCCAAAGCCCGATCTTCTTGATGAGTAGGTATACAAGAATATTATTTGAATAATCCA